TAATAATATTATGTTTGAAACCAATTTTATATATATTTCTGCCAAATATTATTATTATTTGAAAATTAATGTTCATTAATTATTAATCCAATTTTTTTTCATTTTTTTCAATTTTATGTATATTTCTGCCAAATATTAATATTATTTGAAAATTAATGTTCATTAATTATTAATTCAATTCATTTTTCGACTGAAACAATGTTTTTTTTTTTAAATTTTTTATTATATGATTTGTATTATTTATCATTTTTATAATTTTCCTATCAAATAACTACATTTAAAAATTGATTACATTCTTTGAAATGCTTTATTTCAACTCTGCCATCTTTACAGAGCTCTTACTGTACGTTCTCAGAATAAATCGTTATTTCGCAAATGTACGCTTGATAAATATTGTATATAATAGAAAACAAGTGTAAACTTTGTTCTTATCACTTATACAAGCTGTAGACTTTGCTACCAATTCTAATTAATAATTTCAATTACATGTGTCTAATTATGATTGGATTTACAATAAATAGTGATTTATTTCGATCATTCATTGTTGATTAAATAGATCATTATATTTTGACGCAATAATAATGTAAGCTTACATTAAATTTCTAAAGGTCAAACTGATTTGTGAGCAGAAAATAATTAAATATGCAAATCAAACTACGTTTCCCAAGAAAAAGTGAATTAGTTATTAAAATATAATTTTTTTGTTTAACTACAATATTATTTCTACGTTATTGCTATGGACTTAATCGAGCATAATATGAGCTCTCAATAAAAAACTGTATGCTTGGTTACCATAAAAAAAAATATACTATAAAATATTTAAATTAATCAGTAATAAAATACCAGTTTTTTTTATAATTTCATCCAATTAAAATCAAAACTAAATTTGCGTGTGCATTAGCCAGCTGTCAATCATCTAATCATTTTATTTTTAATTGCATAGTATTCGAATTGGGGAAGGGGGCTATTGTCTGGAACAGGGAAGCCTTCATCCATCCATCAATCAGCGTTAATCATTGCGGCAAATCAAGCTGCTAAGTAACCAGGCAACAGATAAAAAAAAATAGAAAAAAAAGAAATAGGAAAAAAATGTTTTCGAAGAAAACTTTGGACTCGGTAGTAATATTTATTATGATTATTATTTTGGTTGTTTTATATTCTTTTCATTCTTAACTAACAAAAAAAACCTGTTGTTATTTCCCCTCTCTTTTCTTCTTTTGGTCGTTTTTATTCTTATCAAATTGTTTGCCCGTTTATTGATTAATAAAAACAAAAAGCGCCAAAAGAATTATAAACATTCTTCGACGACATGTGCATACATAGATAGATATTGATAGCTACACATGCCAAGTCGTAGCCCTTTGCACCCAAAAAAAAAAAACA